CTCAGTATACCTCATCTTAATTAACGCTCAAACGTACATGCCAACTTTTAGATGTTTTGGAGATGACGTGGCGAAATTCTTGGCCGTTGAAGTTTGCATTGCGTTTTGGGTTGGGCACCCATCATGGGTGCCCAAAACAGGGGGGTGCCCATTTCTATGTGCAGGGACTTATATGTCCCCAGGGCCGGAACTGGGCGGCTCCTGTCCGCAGGTAATGGGGCTGTGCTCGGGTCTTTGAAGGACCAACCTGAACAGAACGACAATATTCGCCGGAGTGCATCATTTTTGTAGTGGTGGACGTCGCGAAAGTGTCTCTCGATGCCCTTACCTGGCCGGACTGCTACCTTGCAAATCAGGCAGACAAGGATTTCGCAGTCGGTCAATATCGAGAGCAGCCCTTCAAGCTTCACATGCGGTCCTTGTAGAGTGAGCTGCCTGCCCGTAGAAGACTGAACGATAGGTGAGTGCGACTCTGCAGCGGAATTGTTCTGGCAGGCGTTGCATCGGCTCTCTCATCGGTGTTCGTATTGGTGGCTCGTTAGCATTGACTATCTTTCTTCGTTTGGCAGGATGAGTGTGTTCCGGGAAAGGATGAGTAATGGTGTCGATAGTCTCCCGCTGACTGACATCATTGCCTTGATTCAATGTAGTGTTACATGGTTGCGCAGCCGATGACCGCATCCGACTAGGCTGGTGAAGAAATTCGTGCCAACGAGTTGATGTCCACTCATAAGCGCGTAAAAGAGCCGGTTGGAGACGATGGGGAAATGCACCGTCCAATCCATAAGTAATGCCACGCTGTAAGGGTCGATGACCGCTTTGCCAAGCAAATGCCACGTTCAGGTCCGCATCAGGGCTGGAGTCATCATAACGGTTGAATGGAATATGTACCTCTCGCACATGCTTCTCCGTGATCCCGATAGATATTTGACGATATATGCGTGGGTTGACTGCCTGGTTCCAGATCCTAGATGTCGCTTTCTTGAGTATCGTTGTCAATCGAGACGGTTTCCACGCCTTCCCATCCGTATGAAACAGAAGGTGACACGGGCGTGGAAGCAAAGTTGGGTCGTGGAAGCCAAATTGCTCTCGCCTCAACAGGTCTGCGAGAGGTCGTATGCAGACCATATACCGAAACATAACCACTCCTAGTCGCGCAGGGAGGAACCGGGCCACATAGAACTCCCGATTCGTTAGACGCTTCGACTTGTGATGCCGAATGACATATACCATAGATGCATTCCAAATGAATATGCCGCGACTTGACAAGGGACTATTTTCCCTGTGAAGGGTTAGTAGCTCGCGTATTCGTGGAACCTGGCCACACGCCGTATAAATACCCCCGAGCAACATCTCCTCAAGCTCAACTGTCGCCTTGAGATATGATGCGACCGAACTCCAACTCCACTGATTGTGCCTGGTAAGCCCGTCTGGGGAGCAAGCGCGTATGAGCAGGCCCCGATATTGTTCATCAAGACCGTTGCGGGCGTTATTGACGAAAGAGTAGCCACATTCGGCATTTGTCATGTCGTCTGTCATTGTTGTCAGATCTACATCTGACTCCATGCCAAGCATTAGTTGCGTGCTCGTGGCTTCGGCTCGGGAGATAAAGTATTCGGTAAGCCGCCGAAAGTTCGTCATCGTCAATGCATAGCGCTCCCCATAGTAAACCGTTTCCCCGTCATCACTCCAGCGAAGTAGAAACGGAGGGGCTTCCGTTCGGCCGACAGTGCGGGCAAAGTCTCGTAAGCTCTGCAACTCGACCAGGGCGGATTGTGAGCCAGCAACCATGTACTTTGCACGAATTTGATTGAGTTTGTCAGCCTGTTGAAGCCGCGGCCGTTGTGTAATACCGAGAGTAGCGTATGAGCGGGTGGGGAGGGCCCGCTCGAGGAAGATGAGGCGTTGGATGTAAATTAGAGGCGAAAGGTGTGGGCAAAATTGTCTGGCTGATAAGAACTGCCTGCAGTTGGGAGCAATACCGATGACTCCACTAAAGCGAAGAAGCAAGGTGGATTCGGGCCGACCGTCGAGAAAGGATTCCGTGCATAAGGTAAAACTCAGTTGAAAGAGGAGCTCCAGAAGTGTGTTGCAAAACGCCAAAGCAGATTCATGACCGGTGTCTGCCCGGGAAGTCGACGGTTCCCGGTTGGTTTCCTCGTCGTCCTCGCTCAGATACCAATCGTCCTCTAGATCATCAAACTCATCCAAGTCTGAGTCTTCTGTATCTCCATCCTCCTGATTCTCGCAATCCTGATGGTGATCAATGACTTGTGCTAGTCGAGTCTAAGTTTCTTACGCACCTCAAAGTTAGTAGCCTTAAACTCAAAAGCTGAGTCTGAATTTTCGTACTCTCGATTCAGTCGTGGCCACCCTCCTGAAGAAGGGTCGACGAAATCCCAAACGGGATGTTCCCAGATATGCCGTATTTGACCCGGAACCTGTCCACGGAGGTTGATTTTCGTCATGCATTTTCGAAGCTCAGTATCCATGAGCCACAATCGAATAGTAAAGATGATAAATCTTTTCCAAGCAGTCCGATACTTGCGTCGGCTGCTGGGATCAGCCACCAGGGTGAACGGTTTCTTGCCAGACCAGCCGGTTTTGGAACTGAGAAGCCAGCACAAGAGAGAGCGGCTAGTCTGCCGGACAGTATCCTCGCACCGATCCAGCATACAATCCAGAGCACTGGCAATGCATGACATCTTTCGTTCGTCGTCCAAAGGGCTTACAATTTCAGGGTCTCCCTCGCAGGGCCCATGACCTAAGACATAGTCTGTTTGCAAATGTCTGTCCGGCAGCCGCGATAAGGCCCGCAAGATGTCCCACCGACAGTTTTGGAACATGAACGGCCACTGCGTGCGTTCCAGCCACAAACTTGTTGTTGCGAATGAATCGTCCCCTGGCGCGCCACTACTCGCCAGCCGTGCTTGGTTTTGCGCTTTCTGGAATTCGTGATCCCGAAACAGAACCTCTTTGAAGTGTGCGGATATGTTGGCGACATGTGCAGGTCCGGCATGTGTTGAATCCTCTGCCGAGGAGCATATCTGCGGAAGCGAAGTCCATCGATCGTTGTTCAAGCGGCCTACTTCGAACCAGCCGCTTCCGGACCCAGACACAAAGAACCGCTGGCAGTGCACATGGCACACCCACGGCAGGGTAACCGCGGGGCGTGGCCCGCCATCAACAGGTCTTCCTCTGGACCTCGGATTTTTCCAGCCATGCTGCTGACGACAATGGGCCTGGATCTTCTGAACTTGCCGGCAAATGTACGGGCATTTTTTGCATCTCAGCCCGTCTGTTTTGGGCGCCGCAAGGTGACGTATTGGTTCTATCGTTGGCGGCGGAAATTCAGTCTTCCACAAGTCTTTTCGATTTCGTATCAGATTCGGAATGTCGTTGATGCACCGTGTGACAGCGTGTCGTTGCACAATTGGGAGGTCTCGATGTCGATTCTGTAGATGGGAGGCTGCCTCATCCGCAACGCAGCCATACTCGCACTTCACGCATATGACGATAGAATACTCTGGTAAATGAACAAATGGATACATGTTGGCATTAGGTGGCATGGGCCGTTGCTGCGATGAGCAAACGAACTTATGGACGTGATGCGATCAACGTTGAGCCGGTCGTCAATGTTATGGACTCGACGCGTGCCTTTTCGTGTTTCATGTGACGCGTTTTGACGTTGCAATCTACCCTGATCGGCGAAGGCCGTGCAGGCATCCTCCTCATTGCCAGCCAATCAGGAGTCTCGTTTTGCTGGAAGCTACACCCTACCGGAAAGACAGGGGAGGCAACCCACTCTGGGGTTGCGCAAAGGGCCTTGAGGAACGAAAGCGTGAGTTTGGAGGGGACATATTGATTATCGATGGTATCGAAGGTTTTAGAGGATCGAGAGTGCGATTAATTGGAGACTATTTGAAGGGTTCAGGGTGGTCGCGGGACTGATGCGGGCTGTTCAGTTTATGAACCGTGTGTGGCCTCCGCTGTACCCCGGCGATTGTTATGGCTGCGTTGCCACTATTGTCACGACTGTGATTGCCGTATGCCAGAGCAGCCAATACGCGGGCTGCACCTGGGACCATCCCGGCAGGGCTAGGCAAGGCCCGTGCCCTAAAGGGCAACGTTAGGGGCCGTCACAACCGCCACACCATAAGTAGGTGTGCATCCTCATCCTACTTCCACCGCTGCCTGGATGTCGCCTCTCCCGAGCCTGCTAGCTAGCCGTATCTCGGCGGCTTCCGATCGACGGTAGATCCCTCCGATTATAAATGACGCCTCCTGGCAAGTGCGGCAATGCCGCTTGTGCAACGTTGTCGGCTTCGCCCTCAGACTTGAACTCTCTTCGGTTATGCTCGAGATGCCGCCGGACGGCATATTGCTCCCCTGAATGTCAGTCCGCGGCTTGGCCGTCGCACAAGGGAGGATGTGTCCGGCCTAATTATATCATCGAGTTCCACCTAGCCCCGGCGCAAATTGCGAACCCGCCGGTGACGCGGATCTTGTCATACCCCGCGCAAGCCGTCTTCTACATGCTTCATCTGGCGCTGCAAACAGCGTTTGGTTGGGCGACCACGCACTCGTTCGACTTCGCAGTCGTGGACCCAGACTATCGCGAGCCCGAAGACATCATGGAGATCATCAGCAGGCGCACTGCCATGGGTCCGACCGGCGATCAACTACCTCCAGCTTCCGCCCCGAGGGCATATCTCTTCCGTGTCGTGGACCCGGTTAAGCAGACGCTGTTCTCCGGCATCGATCGCATGCACGAGCCGATGAGACGGCACCCCAATACTCCAGAGAAGAGAGCCGACAATTATAAGCTGAACGAGCTATTCGACGATGAACGGTTCCGAAGTCTGTACAATGGCAAAGTGACCTCCCGCTGCACTCCTGTTCTGACCTGTAGCTAGGTCGCCAGATTGTCTATACGTACGATTTCGGTGACAATTGGGAGCATCATCTAAGGATCTTGGGACGTGCCGATCCCACCACCGACTTTATCTGCCTCGACGGGTCCGGGCACTATGTGGCGGAAGATTCAGGCGGTGCTGGGGGATGGGAGGATGTCAAGGCGGCCTACCGAAACCAGAGCCCGACTAAGGAGCAGATGCAGCGTCGGCACTGGTTCGAAAGGCAAGCCAGCAATCTCGACCCGAGGGGGCTTGCGGGGGATCGTGCACATGCATGGGACCGAGCCAAGATCAACCGGGAACTCGAGACCGACACGATGTTTGAACGCTTCCAGAAGATGGGAGACACTTCTGATGCCTACCGAGATCGCGCTTCTGCAGAGCTTCGATCTGGATGATACTATTCTTGTCCGCACGCCGCAGACTAGGCAGGGCTAATGGGTGCATTCACATCATCCATCTCAAGTCTAGCTAGAGATCCATGTGACCTCATTACAGAGGCGGGGCCTACGCACCCTACTGTTGGCCCTAGAATCGTCCGGAAGTAGTGGGACCTTTCTGACAGGATCTGTCCCGCTGCCCAGTGCGGCCATCTCAGGCGACGTCGACAACTCGTTCAAGTTGGGGCAACGGCACTACCATGACCAGGCGCACACACTGTAGAAGAGGTTCACGGGTCGTCATGCTGGACGGGCAAATGCTCGCCGCGGGAGACGCGGAGTTGCAGACGCTGCTGAAGCGGATTCGGCAGGGCGTGCAGGACCAGACGGACTTGGATCTCCTCAACTCAAGGTGCTACCGGGAAGGCAGGCGGATCCCGTGGGAATCGGGCATCACCGTAGTGACGCCGCTGAACAGGAACCGCTGGAACCTCAACATGGAGGCAACCTTGGCATTCCAGATGCAGCAGCGGTCGACAATGCGCATCTTCATATCCGAGCACAAGTGGAAACAGGGCCAGCCGACGGAGGAAGAAGCGGTGATGATGCTGAACCAGGGCGACGACAGCGCGATCCCCGTGCCGGCCATCTTCATGTTCGTGCCGGGCATGCCGGTCGTCGTGAACCGCAACACGACTTGTTAACGGAGCCGCGTACAGGGCGGTGGAGGTCATCGTAGACAAGTCGCATCCGGGGTATCAAATCTCGGCCGGTATTACGATCCACTTCGGGCCGCCGGCGGGAGTAATACTGGAGTCGGGAACAACCGAAGAGTTCCACTTTGTTGGAATGCCACCAGGCACGATCCTGATGACGCCAATGAGCGTTAGTATCCCGTGCCAACGGAAACGGCCGTGGCAGCAGAACGACGTCAGCCGAAAAGGGTTGCCGTGCGCGGCGGCCTTTGCGTGTACGGACTACAAGGTGCAGGGCGGGACCTTCGATCGCGTGGCGCTGGAGTTGCGTGGCACGAGGACGACGAGCACGGACGGACGCGCCATCCCGTCGCAGTGCGACCCGTACAGCTTGTACGTGCAACTCTCACGCTGCCGGACGCTGGACGGCATCATGCTCGTGTCGAAGGTGCGGGAGAGAGACCTTGTTGGGAACCGGGTACCCAAAGAGATGACTGCCGCACAGGGCAGACTCGAGAGACTGAGCGAGAAGACAGTCGGGGAGGCCTTGCGCTGGGTTGAGTGACGTTTGGCGGAAAAGCTAGGGCGGCTGTGGCTGTGGAGGCGTTTGGACAACAAGGGGCGATGGGAAGGCGGTGGATGGCGACGAGTCGCGCCGCGGGCGGGGGAGCTGGGACCGGGGGCACGGCGACACGAACCGGCTCGGCGACCAATCATGACAGACCTTTTAAAGGCACAGGGTGGGCTGGAGGCGGGGCATAAATCCTTTCGTTCCTCAAGGCACCGTTCTGGCCGAACGATGGGTGGCCCGGCTTACGAGCCAGCTTCATCAACACTTGCCTGCGCGTCCATCGCCAGTCGCCAGTCCTGAAATTAAACTGCCTGCCATGCTTTCCACGCCCGGCAACGCCTTCCCCACGCCCGTCAGGGCAAACCCAGAGCCCCCGTCATTTGGAGACAGGATGGCCAAGGAGTATCAGCGAGTGGCTCCGTTCCACGACTTGAGCCGGAGCGAACGAAAGACGCCGCATCCTGGGTCGCTGCCGCAAATCAACGTCCTGCATCCGACACAAACGAGCAGCCCGACGCCACAGCATCCGCCACCGTCGATCTTGAACGCGCAAGTGGCCGCTCAGCTGGCGCTCTCGCATGTCACCTATACACAGAGACGGACGCAGAAGGAGGAGATGCTCTCGGGCCGGCATTACTATCCGTCTGACAAGGAGCTGTATCTGGAGCGCGAGCGCTGCGCCGTTGCCTGTCGGCGCTTCAACAGCCTGACGGGGGCTCCATCGCACGGTGTCTCGCCCGCTGAGCGAGCCCGCATTTTTCTCGAGATCCTGCAGCCCCGTGAGCTCGTACGGATGACTCCCAGCGAGGCGTCCCCCGTCACCAATGTCGGTCGCGTTGGCCGGCACGTTGCCGTCGAGACACCCTTTACGTGCGACTACGGCTATAACATCAATATCGGCCACCACGTCTTTATCGGGCGGAACTGCACCATCAACGACGTCTGCGAGGTCAAGATTGGCGACAACTGCGTCATTGGCCCCAACGTGAGCATCTTCACGGCTTCTCGTCCAATGGATCCCAAGACGAGACAGGGCGGCCAGGGGCCACAATTTGGCCGAGGCATCACGATTGCGCAGGACTGCTGGATCGGAGGAGGCGCCGTCATCCTGCCGGGCCGCACCATCGGTAAGGGCAGCACGGTCGGTGCTGGTTCCATCGTTACCAAGGTTTGTTATGCGCAATGTTACGGTGTGACCAATGTAGCTTACGGCTTCTCGCAGGACGTCCCGCCCTTCACCGTCGTGGCCGGCAATCCAGCACGCGTTCTACGCGGCATCGGCGACGCGCCATAGCTCGTGTCGTGGTGGCGTCGCGGATGCAGCCACAATTGTGTCTGGATGCGGGGCACATGGACAGACTTGACAAGCGTCACCTTCCAGGATGCATAAAGACGGGGGTGTTTTTTTTCTCTCTCTCTTTGAGTTGAACAACCCTTGACTTTTTTTTTTTTTTTTTTTTGCTTTTTGTCGAGAGGAAAACAAGACATGCACCTGAGTGTCGGCCCAACCTCGGGCATTTGCAACCAGAGATGGTGCATTACTGCCACGCGCCCTTGTGGCTAGCAGCACCTTGTCGAAAGACAGCCCGGAGCAACATGATCTCTTTGGATCATGCACAGAGTCGTCGTTCGTGGTAGACGACCTTCACTTTCCTCGCCGTGAGCAATGGTTTGTGTGAACCCGTTCACCGCACGTAGAGTGCACGCCCTGTGGCTTTTGTTTTCCGCCCAGTCGGAGATGCATGGCCTTGAGCTGATTTGCATCGTGCAAACAGAATTGGTCGCTCTCGTGGAGAGACACCTGGTGCTTTGGCCATGGACACTGCCTCGTTGCAAATGGAGTTCCGGGAGGACGAGGTCACCCATTGTGCGAACGACGCTTGTTGCTCACACGCAACGTGTGGTCCGATGAAGATCGTTCTACAGGGGAGGGCTTTGTGCCGACAGTGGTTCTTTCTTCGATGGCAGCCGTCGACTTTCTCATCCCTTCGGATGTCACGCGCGAGTTGCGAGCCTGGTTAAGACGGTACCAGTACCGCTACTGCGCCTCGCTGAGCCGTGTGGGCGTGCGAGATTGTGGCAAGATCGACCATGGCTTTTCGGAAGCCCACTGTCCGAGTTCTGCCGCACCTTCCGGCTAGAGGTCTCCTTGATGCGCCCCGACGTATGGTGTTTGGCTTGTTGCATGGATGCAGACAGTGACGATGTGTCCTTTTGGGTGTCTTGCATGACCAACTGGCAGGAGGGCAGGTTTCTTTTTGGCGACAAGCGGTTGATCGAACACGTCGTTGACGAGGCAAAGGCAGCGGCGGGAGCGACCCGGTTCTATCTAGAGCAGGTGTAACGGCCGTGGTTCTTGCGGTACCCACCTCGCGAGGGATGCAGCATTCCCCATTCGGTGGCCACAATACCTTTCATGCAGCGGAATTGGAGTTAGACGAGCACTTGTACACCCACAAAGATAATAGACTTTTATTCACTGATACCGATCCTCGTTTTAACCGCCGGAGGCCTCCACTGCCCATTACGAACGCCACCCGCAGGGTTTCATCCCGAAGCGTAGCGTAGGGCATTGCATGCCCTTGACTTCTGGAAGTCACTTCCACAGCTTAGCTGTGTGCCGGAGACGACCGGTCCATGGGCGTAGCGACGGCAAGTGGTGCATACGCCTAGTGGAAGGTGTACGTCCAGCGCCGACCAGCGGCGGGACGACACCCCACGTGATGGGACTCTCGCGCCTCATGGACATAAAGACGACAGGATTTCGGTCTACAAGGTTTGGATGGCAGTTGAGCGATACAAATCATACAATGGCAACAATAAACATATTTACTCCACTTGCTGTCCCCTGAGCGTCTTTAGCGGCTCTCAATCTCTCAGCCAGTTCTGTCTTCTCCTTTCAACATTCGCGGGAACGTTTTGGAGCATTCAGCGAAGCTCGCTGAGAGCTGGTATGGCTGTGGTTGTAGCCCGTCATCAGTTGGACCCTTGGCGTACACTACTGTAGCTTGTAACCAGATTGGCAATTACAGTACTGGTCATCGATGCCGCAAGGAGACACCGGTCGCCGAAAATAAGTAGCCAATCTCGCTTTCGGTGAAGCCGCTTCAATTCGCTAGCAAAGGCACTTCAATGCTCGCTCCCATTTGTACTCTCTGACAGCCGTTTCCGCACCATATGTTCGCAGTGTCACCAACGCCACCATTGCTCGTCCACCATAGAACCCAATAAGCAGCCATGTGTAGATCATCCTGTAGGTATCTCTCCTAGGCGTTGACACGCAGCGCCTGCGAGCGCAGAAATGCTGCATGAATACAGCACCGTGTTTGGACGACATGCTGCGGTGGCACGCCATAGCACTTGTACTGCAACTGAGCCGGGGATCTCAACAGATACATTGATTATTCGGTTGCTTGAGACATCATCAGAGGCATCGAATATGACATTGAGATGCGGGGCATCGTCCAGAAGAGCCTTGACACGTTGCTGATAGTCCAGATAGACGGGATCGAGGAATGAGGCAATTCGCTTGCGATCTGGAGGTCTATATGCCGAATTCAACATGTGGAATAGCTTCAGCGTTTCCGGTTCTTCATAGAGGGAGTAGGGTTTGCCGGAGGCAAAGATTGCGAGAGCGGCTTGACGGTCCAATGCATCCTTAGATGCTTTGCTGACGCTATCCAGCTTAGTGCTGATAAGCGGTTGTCGGCTTGAATTGGCTTCATGGAGCTGTCGATATGCAGTACACTGCGTGTGAAGGTGTCG